ATGTCAAACTTCTCTCTGTGATAGGCTATTCCTGCCTATCACAGAGAGCAGGCATCAGAAAAGTCTTAATCTTTGAAAAGTTTATATCAGATTACATAGGATATGTTTGGTTTAAAGGATGAATCTAAAGAGGAAGTAAAGAGAACAATTTTTTGGGCAGATTCACGAGATATTGTGTATGTCGTGATGATAGCTAGAGAGATTAATGAAAAAGTATACATTAAGGCATCATTGTGTTTCATATTTACATTAAAATTTAATTTGTAATTTGTAATATAATTTTTAGAAGTAAATCTGCCTTTTTTAGGTAATGGCTGACAGAGGTCAGAGCTTTCTTAAAATTTGTCCAACAATTTTACCAGAAACTTATCAACCAGAGCTAAGTTATAAATCAACCGAGGATGAAACTGAAGAGTTCAAAAATTAGAGAAACTGAGCCTTCCTAACAAAAAATGATCCTTGTATTCTGAAGTGGGTACTGTTTGCAAAAAAGGAGAGTTAACAGGTGCTCATAGATTAATAATGCTTTGTATAGTACCTCAAATTAAAAAATCTTATGAAAACATGAGACTGCAGTTTAATCTAATTATGTTAGATAGGATTCTTTTGTTTTTGTAGCTGATCTTAAATTAATTTTGGTTGTTAATGGTCTGCAGAATAGTATTTCAATAAATCCTTGTTCATATTGCTATGTTAAATTACGGTTACTCCAAGGTTTATTTAAACATATGTTATGTAAACTGCAATTTAGATATTTCTTTGAAATCTTTGAACAATAGATGTGTCGGTTTGCAAACATATGGTGATCTGAGAAAATGCTATGACAGATAAAGCTAAACAATATGTTTTAAATAATTTTCTGTTATCAATGTGTTATCAACCGTTTAATAATAAACATTTGATATATGTTTAATATATATTTTATTAGGTTTCAGCTATTAGCTATTAGATATCCCAAACACTATGAGCACAGTGAACCTTCCACTTTTTAACGAACCAGATTTTGTGTTAGTTATAGTTAAATACCCTCTTCCTGAATTACATTTAACACAAGAATTCGGCAATCATGTTTTTTGGATGGGAATTTTGCCACTTTTAGGCAGAGAAAAAACCATGCTGTGGCCCTTAAAGTTGGAACTGATTTCAAAAAATTAGCAGATGAGATTTTGATTAAAAAAATTAAAGACATTTTTAAAGAAACTTAGAGAGTTTTTACTAATTAACATCAAAATTAGTTAATTTGTAATTTTTGTCTAGGGTGAGGTTTTTGAAGGCAATGCACGTCGTAAGCTATTTCAACATGCAGACAAACTTTTTGAATGATGTCCTTGTTAAAGTTAGCCCGTTATTGTTGTTGCCTTTAGTTTCAATGCTAAAAGCGACGGACAATGTTGTCAAATGTTGTTTTGGAACTGGAAAGGTTTCTCATAATTTATCTCATTACCTGCAAGTTTTGAAAACAATGTCTCAGGCAACACATTTATCTAAAACTCTCAAGATGAACGTAATTCTTGAACACATTGAACGATGTCTTTGTGAATTAAAATCAAATTATGGGCTAGGACTTGTATCTGAACAAGCCGGAGGTTCAATCCATAGGGAATTTTTAAAGTATAGGTTACGATATCAAGTTGATATAATGACCGATGTGTCGCATGGGGAGCGATTGATGAAAGCTGTTGTGGAATTTAGTTCTTGACATTTATAATATATATTTTTTTCTACTTATTTTAATTTTATTTGTTTAAACTCCATTTTTTTAACATTAATTATAAAAATACCGGTAAAAACACTTTTTTACTGCTTTTGATTCTAATTCACTTGGCAATTGCTCCAATTGGGTTTAAAATATGCAAAAATGTGGTATTATTGTGTATTGTAGATTTATAATAACTTTCAAATGTATTGCAGATAGCTGATGTTATTTATAACTAATAACAACTTTATAACTTTCAGTTTTCTCTATTACCATATGTCAGCTGAAAATATATATCTTGAATTAATGCCTAAATTAAAAGTTAGTTAAAAATCATGGACGAGCAGCTAGGATTTTAATTCCAGATTTGTGATCTACAAAAAAAATTCTAAAAGAATCTGCAAACAATTTTCGTTAACATTTTTATCAATCTTAAATTTGGTGAGGGCCAGTGTGTTGGGTCAACTGGAATTAAGTAATCTTTGTTGAAAATTAGGCTTTATTTCTAGGTATGGTCAAATGCGGAAATTTTTACTCTTGTATTATAGTGTGAATATCGAAAACAGAATTCTGAGCGTAAATTTTTTTGTTTAATGACTGAGCGAACCCATTCTTAATTATGTTTTAAAAAGTAAAAAATGCGTTTAGTTTATATAAAATAGAAATGGTTAACAGATAATTTGTTGAAATAAATGACAATTATTTTATCTAACGAATAAAAAGACTTTATTTGACATTTAATAAATTAATTTTAAACTTTTCCTTATAAACTTTTGTTGTTGTCTCCAAATTACACAGTTGTCCTAATTTTATAAAAAACAGTTTTCTTGATATTATATATTATGAATATATTTATTTATTTAATAACTGTGTGTGTATATATATATATATATATATATATATATATATATATATATATATATATATATATATATATATATATATATATACATATACATATCACTGGTATACTGGAAAAAGAATGTTAAATCTGTTTAGAGAAATCAATTATTTAAGTTTTCTTCCAATTTGAAACTTTTATAATCTTATCCATAAACAAGTAAAGCTAAATCGATTTAACTTTTAAAAAATATCTTATAAGAGTTTAATATATAATTATATCTATATAACTATATCATATCATATCATATATATATATATACACATACATATATATATATATATATATATATATATATATATATATATATATATATACATAAATATATGTATGTATATATGTATGTATTTATGTATGTATGTATGTATGTATGTATGTATGTATATATATATATATATATATATATATATATATATATATATATATATATATATATATATATATACTTGTAAACAAGGGTATTTATACTCCCTTAAAATATTGTGGAAAAATTCAAAAAAAATAAAGAAAAGTTACATCCATAATATGAGTTTTTATTTAATTAAATTGGTTTAACATTTTTTTCTAGTACAAAAATATTCACCACTTTAAAAAATATTTAGTGATTTAAAGCTTTTATTCTGAATAAAATCGCCATTTTATGAGTTTACGTTAAATGTATATTTATAACAAGAGAAAAAAATAATGTTTCACTTGAATTATATTAGTGCATTTTGCCAGTTTGTAGAGTATTGTAAACTTAACAATACTGCATCGTTATGTTAAAACTGTCAATTTTTGACTCAATGTCTTTTGCCATGTATATGTATATATATATATATATATATATATATATATATATATATATATATATATATATATATATATATATATATCGCCAGGGATAGTGCAAAACAGCGTAATTAGCATTGGATAATACAGAAATTTAAAACTTTATATGTTTTTTATTTTAACTGATTTTGGGTTCATTTTAGTATAAAGAGTATTATTCATGTTTTTTGTAATCTCAACAATATATATTTGGTGTTAAAATTAATAATATCCAAATATAGTAGCCAATGCTAGTTATGCAGATTTGCACTATCTCCGACAATATATATATATATATATATATATATATATATATATATATATATATATATATATATATATATATATATATATATATATATATATATATATATATGTGCTCAATGTTCTTAAAAAACAGAGCAATAATAAATTAGTTAAAGAACTTGTCTAATTTTTGGTTTCTTCTACAGCGTGTTTCACCATCAGTAGGTTCATCAGGAAGATAAACCTTCCTGATAAACTACTGATAGATAAACTTGCTGTAGAAGAAACCAAAAATTTTTACTAATTTATATATATATAACAAAATTTTTTACTAGTTTATATATATATAACAAAATTTTTTACTAGTTTATATATATATATATAAACGTGTATATATATATATATATACGTATATATATATATATATATATATATATATATATATATATATATATATATATATATATATATACGTATATATATATATATATATATATATATATATATATATATATATATATATATAAACGTGTATATATATATATATATATGTATATATATATATATATATATATATATATATATATACGTATATATATATATATATATATATATATATATATATATATATATATATATATATATATATATATATATATATAGCGTTTTTACTAATTTATATATATATATATATATATATATATATATACATACATACATACATACATACATACATACATACAAAAAAATAGTTTATTAGGTTGTTGCTTCTTTTTAATTTCCAAACATTACTATATTTTTTTTTTAAGTTCTGTGTATATATATATATATGTATGTATATATATATATATAAATAAATATATATATATATATATATATATATATATATATATATATATATATATATATATATATATATATATATATATATATATAATAGGGCCCTGCAAAACTTCCAAATTTCGAATCGAGTCGAATCAAAAAAATAATTCAAGATGCGATTAGAAAATTTTCAAAAATTAAATCCTTACTTATTTTGTTTTTGTTGTGGGTATTTTAGATAATCTGCGGTTTGGCCCTATTGAAATAACGTTACTTATCCTTAAATATCTTTTTAATCAGTCATTAAAACGGTTAACCAGGGCAAGAAGTATCAATAAAGAGATTATACAATTTTTTTTATTTTGAAATATGTATTGTTAAAAAAAAATACTTAAATTTAGACTTTAAAATGTCGATTCGAAACGTGATTCGAATTGCGAATCAAGGCCTGCTTTGATTCGAGATTCGATTCGAAACAAAAGCTGCCGATTCGTAGGGTCCTAATATATATATATATAAAAAATATAATTTTTTCTGAATTTAAAAAAATTATTTTTAGAATGACTTCTCGTCATGTGATAAAAAAAAACAAGTGGAGTATAGACTTCAACAGTCCTTCACGAACTGGTGTGATTTCAAAAGTTAAAAATAATGACCATTTAAACCCTGTTGGATACACTGATCAAAAAATAAATGCTAGTGGTGCAACTCAGGTTTCAGACTCAAAGCTTATATCAAAACGGTCATGGAATATTGCAACAGGTCCTGCTAAACAAATACCCATGAATTTGTTTATAATGTACATGGGTGGAAGCTCAATTTCTATTTTTCCTATAATGATTCTGGGAATGATGATATTCAGACCTATTAAAGCTATGATGGCTTACAAAACAACATTTAAAATGTTTGAGGAAGATAAACAAGCAATTCTTCTCAAAATTGCTTGGTTTTTAGGTAATTTGTCTGGAATTGTTATAGCACTTTGGAGATGTCACTCAATGGGTTTGCTTCCTACCTCTCCATCTGATTGGTTAGCTTTTAAAGAACATAGAAAACAATTAGAGTATGTTATAGGAGGAATGAATCCATGAAAAATTTTTAATTTATTGACAAATTTAGAAAAATTGAGCAAATATAATGTTGTTTTCTTTTGAATTGTACTTCCTGCATTCTGTAAATGTTAAAATTATTACTTTTTTAAATCCTATTCTTATTTTTAGGTTTGCTCATTTTTTATGCACTGTCAATATTCACAATGTTTATGAGATTAGGTGTATTCACAATGTTTATGAGGGCAGGTGGTCAAATATAAAAGTGAACAGACACTAAATTAAAAAAAAAAATCAAAAAATGTTGGGTAGGTAGGTTAAAAGTGTAGGTACTTTTAAGGAGGTGAAGAATACTTAATAATACGTGGGGGAGGGGATGGGGAGAGGGTCGAGATAAAAGCGTACGTACATTATGGACGACCCCTTATAAGTTACAAACAAATTTTATTGTCTTTCTCTTTTCTTTTTTTTTTTTTTTTTTTTTTTGTGACGAAACGATAAAGTAGTTATAGTTTTTTGAATAGTTTAATGATTATAAAATTAAAATCTATTGAAATTTAAAGTATAGTTGTATCTACTTTTTATTACTACCAGTGTGTAAATTAGTGTTTAGAATTAAAGATAAAATTTATAAGATTCGAAATTAATAAAATTATAATCTTCTGTTTAATCTTTCGTTGCAGCCACTTCTATCACCAACAGTAATTGTGTAAATAAGTTTTTTGATTTAAAGCTATTAGTTATTTAAACTTATATTATATAAATAATTATATATCATATAAATTTGAAGGTTATTAAAGCTATAATATTAACTAGTTTCATTAATGGAATTAAAAAATTTATTCGCTCGCTCAGCTGGCACAAATACGTTGTTAAAACATTAGACAAATACGTTGTTAAAACATTAGAACAATGTCGCGCGTTTCGTTGTCCCATCGTTGTTTTTATATTATTATGGTTACAAATGTGACGTCGCGAACAACTAAAAACCAATGTTGATAAAACGTTTAAAGTCGGAGAATGTTTCAAAAATAATTTTTCATTAAATTCTATTTTCTTTATATATATATATATATATATATATATATATATATATATATATATATATATATATATATATATATATATATATATATATATATACAGTGGACAGAAAAAATTCTCCGTACATTTATGAAAAGTTTCTATATTTGATCAAAACAACATTTGAAAGTATTTAGATAGTTTTAATTAAGAGTTCTTAAAGAAATATTATAATAATAAAGTAATTTTAAGTGTATTAGTTAAAAATATATTAACATATGAAAAGTTATATAAATTTATTTAAAGAGAGTTAAAAGTTTAAACAAAAAATTTGTCCGTACACTATGTTAATTTTTAAATTAAAATTACTTTAAATTATATTAATATCTTGTTGGACCACCATCAACTTCAATAACTGCTCTTCAACGATTTTTTGTTGAGACAAGTTTAGACGTAATTTCTTGATTAATTAATTAATGACAAAACATCTAAAACCAGTCATTTGAGCTCATTTTTATTCTTTGGAGCTCGATCTTTCATTATTTTTTCCACCACTGACCATAAATGTTCTATAGGGTTCAACTCGGGCTGTTGTGCAACCCAATCCAACACGTTAATGCCATTTGCAGCAAGATATCTGGTTACAGATCCAGCTTTGTACTTTGGATCGTTGTCATGTTGGAATATAAACTCCGTTCCAAGTCCTAATTTTCCTACCGAAGCCACCAAATTCCGTTCTAATATGGATCTATATAAGTGTTGATCCATTTTCTCATCAATAAATTCATTTTCGCCAACACCTGACTCATGATCGTTGTGTAGCCCCAAACCATAACATTTCCACCACCAAATTTAAATGTTGCCATCAAACACTTCACATTAAATTCTTCTCCGACACTTCTATAAACCTTTGCACCACCATTAGCTCCATATAAATTAAATTTACTCTCGTCTGACCAAATAATCATATTTTAGAACGTATCATCCGTCAGAACATGTAACTTTGCCCACTGCAACCATTTTCTCTTGTTCACTTTGCTGATAAATGGTTTTCTTCGAGGCGTCCGTGCAAAAATATTGGCTTCATGCAGTCTGTTCCTAATTTTTTTGTGGCGGTAATTTATAATTTAATTCATTTTTCAGCTCTTTTGATACTTCTACAGCATTTTTTCTTCCATTCTGCTCGATTTTCCCAACTATGCACCTGTCAACTCTTGGCGTTGTTAATCTTTTTCTGCCTCGTACACCATTATTTACCACTGATTTTGTTTGTAAATACTTTTCCCATTATATTGAACAGAACTTGGTGGTATTTTCAACATTTCTGCAACTTTTCTAATTGATAATCTATTTTCCCTATTATAAATTACTCGTTTACGTAAGTCAATACTATATTCTTTCCTTTTTTCTTCCATCATAGCCACGTAGTTAGGAAAAGGTATATTTTTTTATTTATTATAGTATAATATAACCTAAAAGTACAATATATTAATATAAAAATCATTAATAAACAAAATTTTACCTTTTATATCAAATGTACGGACAATTTTTTGGTTTTAAAACTTTTAAAACTTTTAAATAAGTTAATTATAATTTAAATAGTCGGGAAAAAATTAAAGATGGTGTATCGTGTTTATTTGTTTTCTTGTGCGCTATCTATTGGTTTAATTTATTTTTTTCTATCATTTAAAGTTTTAAAACTTTTTTCAAAAAACCTTATTTTTCATTAATGGACGGACAATTATTTTGCCCACTATATGTATATATATATATATATATATATATATATATATATATATATATATATATATATATATATATATATATATATATATATATAAAATTCCAAATAGTATTGAATACAACGTTTTACCAACTAAAGTTCAACGTTGAATCAACGTAAATGTTGTGCAAACTTTACAACGTTGGGCCAACATATAAAATAAAACGTTGAATCAACGTAGAAAATATAACCATTTTCCGACTTTAAATAAACGTTTTAACAACATTGGTTTTTAGTTGTTGGCGATGTCGCATTTGTAACCATAATGATGTAAAAACAATGTTGGCAGTCGATGTTGGGCTAACGAAACGCGCGACATTGTTCTAATGTTTTAACAACGTATGTGTGCTAGCTGGGTAAAGCCAAGACAAAACTAATTACAATTTGTACATGTTTTCACGATTACATGGTTTGTACATGTTTTAAGATTAGTGTTATATAGTAAAAATCAATTTTCAATTTTAATACTAAATTTATGCTTTTTTGTTAATAAAGATACAAATATCTAAATTAATGAAACGTTATTGATTTTAGGGTGTGTTAAAACATCATCTCCATATCATCTCCATCCTGACACAAAGGTACACCTTCTATTTGGCGATGGTCTAAAAACAAACTTTTGAAACCCCTTTTTGTATACAAATATTAATAATTTCACACAAAAAGATGCTCTAAAAAATATGCATTTTTTGGGGTTAAAAATTGTATTTTGTCTCCCTCTAGCCCCTCAATACGTCGGATAAATATAAGTTAAATTTTTAGTACTCTTTTATTCTATTATTTTTTGATAAGTTATAACCCAGCCGGGGCATTTGGTCCTACTAATAAATTAGTTGTTAAAATTAATTACAGTTTTCCTATTTGTAAACTATAAATAGCAGGGGCAAGAAGATGATAAAATAGTCTTATCGCAAAGCCCGTAATAATCCGTAAATAAAATATAGTCATTAAAAATGGTATCAAACATAATATAAAAAATTGAAAAAAAAGATAAATTCCAAAACTTATTTTTAATATTAAATGAATCCAAAGTAAATATTCTTATATAAAAACAAAGAAACAAAAAAAATTATTAAGGTTAAGAATACATTATTAAAAATATAATATAAAGAACAAGACATTTTAAGAAAAATTTATATTTATATATAATGAGAAAATATAAAAAAAAAAAATCAGAATTTTTCAAATTTTTGCAAAATAAACTGTGTTCAATTTTGTATCTAGTCATAATACAAAATATTTATTTTGTATATATGACTAGAAATACAAATTATTGGTCTATATACAAATTTTTTTTGTATATAGACCAATAATTAAATATAGCTTTAGATGAAGTCCTCCATATTTTGATTAAAAACCCTTTCTTTAAGTTTTGATTTAAAATTATGTTTGCAAGCGTTTTAACTTTTACCCTCCTTTTGACGTTTTAACTTTTACCCTCCTTTTGACGTTTTGACTTAAAACCTCATTACCTCATAATTATAAAATTTTGTGTGGTTGTTCAATTTTGATAGTTTTTAGACTTTTAAATACTGCGTTAAAGGCCTTTCTAATGGTTTATTACGTTCTTGCGTTTAATTAAAAACTTCATATCAAGTTTATTTATCATAACAAGTAAAAATAATTAGGAAACTTTTGAGTTTCATATTTGAGATTAGGAAACTTTTGAGTGTCATATTTGAGATTAGGAAACTTTTGAGTGTCATTTTATTAAAAACCTAAAAGAAGCACACACACAGAATCCAAAAATTAAATAAATATTTATTAATTACCTGCAAAGTCTTTTAATGAAATACAATTTTTTATATTTGGAACGTCAATGAGACTGTTAACATATTTTGCTAGATGTGTAAAAACATATTGTAGCTAGACGTAAAGCTGGATGGAAGAGTTAATTTTATTGTGGTGAGCAAGATATCTCAATAACAATGTGTAAGGCAGTAATGCAAGTGGACCATTGTTGACATTTTTTTCTGCAAAACTCAGTTCCTATTTCTGTTGGTTTAGTTATTAAGGAGTGCTTCAACCATAAATGAAACATCGAGGAGCTGCACTTTGTGGCTTGTATAAAGGAATTGTAACAATTTCAGCCTAATTCTCACGAGCTAAATTTTCGACGTTCAGGTTTCTAGAATGGGAATAATGGCCATTCAAAACTTGAGTAACTGGGTCATCTTTACTCGATTTTAATCATTGGATAAATATATTCTTTTGGACTTTGCCTGTCACATGAAAGGATGCAATAGATAGAGGCGGTATCCCTTTCATTAAAGTATTTTTCATACTTTTTCGGGTGAAATTTAATAACAGTGAAATAAACCGACCAACAGGATTCATACACGTTACTACAGCTATTAAATTTCCCCTCTCCTGTTTCTGCAGGCTAGCTGCTTGTCTTTTACCTTTAAGTGCGATTACTTTGATACTGTACTACAGTGATCCCTGTTTCGTTGTAATTATACAACTTATTAGGATTATCATTAATTTCAGTCGACAGATTCAAAATATTTTAAAAAAGAATTTACAGCTTCTGGATTAAAATTAATAGCTCGAAAATTTGAAAAACCTTATGAGCTACGTAACGTTAACTGTGGGTGTCGAGTAAGAAAATTCTTTAACCATTTTTTTTTCCGGTGACTTCTTTGGCAGTCAGAAAAGTTGTTTTAAGATTATTCTTTCTTGCTATTTGAGAGGCCAATCTCCTTACATCTTTAACTGAAGTAATTTTTTTCTAATAGAAAGCAGTGTGAAGCTTTCTGCTTCATCTTGTTTTACGTCAGGTGTTAACTCTGGTTTCTACCCCAAGTGTGTACTTACAACATTTTTCTCACTCTCGCCTGGTTTAGCTTGGGGTTCCGATGCAGTTTGAGGCACGGTTGAAACCTTTTCCAGTGAACAAACCCAGGCTTCGAGTTTTTTGTAAAATCAGACCCGACTTATTTAAACCGTTATTACTCATTTATTTTTAATAATTCGCAACAGATAATTAATTTAATAGGTTTATTATATTACATAATTATTTCTAATATATTATAAAAATTTTTTTATAACTTATACAGTATTAAAAACGAATACGATATTTAAGCACTTATTATATTCGGGTCAGGATTTTATAAAAAACTCGAAATCTGGATTTGCTCACTGGAAAAAAGTTTCAACCTTGAGGCACATTAAAAACTAAACTGGTTTCGAAACTACCCATTTGTTTAGTCTTTGTCGCTGCGATCGCTTCTTATTATATTTTCTTGGTTCTATTTTTTTCTGGAAGGCATTTAATAAATAATTAAAATTATATAAGTCAAATAAAAAAGGGTACATACCATGAGAAAATTACCTCCTATTATGGGGAACCCCATATTAAGTAGCTGACAATTTTTTTTTTTTTTAAATTCACCCCCTCAAGGCCGAGAAGGCCACTACAGACGAGGAGGCTACTTATTTGTGGTTATAACCCTCACTCAACTCTATAACTCCGAAACACGAACCTTGACGAGCAAGGCCGCTGCGCGGAGAAACGAGTTGAGCGCGGTACTACCAGGGACGTGGTGGGGATCGAACTCGAAACCACTCGTTTATGAAGCGAGCGCTCTACCACTACACCACTACCAATTGTCCGAATTAGGCAATATGAATGGTGCGCAAATAAATTTTGCGCACCATTCATATTTTGACGGTAAGGTATAGTTCATAAGAAAAATGAAATTTATTGCGTGACAATATAATAAGATTTGTAAAAATATTTTACCTTAAGTCACAAAGGATTATTAAACAGAACAAAAAAAAAAACTTCAAAATGTTTAAAAACTTAAGCACCTGTCATCTGCGATGACACTGTTAAACTAACTGTATTGCACACATTGAACCTTTATGTAACAGGCGTACAAAAATATCGCACAACATAAAAATAAACAATGTGGACTACTCACGACAAACGTTACCTACCGAAAATCTTTACCAAATTAGCAACTCTCCTCATAACAGGCTACTTTAGCCTATCAGGAATACCAAGCCTGAACCAGAAAGATAACTTTAAACGTGTTTTATTATCAACATTACTTTTTTTTTAGATTAAAACTCCAACTTAAATAAAAAAATTTTACAATAAAAAGCAAATATACTTAGAATAAGCTAGAACATTTTTTATTTAAAAAAATGCGTAGAACAATTTTGAAATTAAAAACCTAATCCATTAAGTAAAATTGACTACATAATCTAAATAGCAATAATACATTCATTCAACATCCTTCAATGTAAAGATCAAATACTATTAGAAATTACTTTTAGAAAAAATTAATAAAAAAAGAAGACATACACACACACAAAAACACACCAAAATTTTATAATAAAAATTGTTTTAATCCCTATTTTATTTCTTTCTAGTCTTTGCTCCAGACTTTTTAATTAAAGCGAGTTTAGGTTTCTTGTCGTTTTTCTTCACTACACGTGTATTATTCGATTTCTTATTTATTGTTTTTATTGATTTTTTTTTATTTATTAATTTACTTTTTTTACTGATAGGCTTCTTAAAAGGTTTTTCCTGCTGAGGTTTTAAATTACTGCGATACTCGACGTCGGATACTTGAGTCGGCGTGTCTGTACCTTTTAGGTCACATACTTTTGAAAAATCAAACTTTGGCTTTACACTGTTATCATCTTCTTTGGAAGCAAAAAAAACTGATATCTCTTTTTCCTCATGGTCAATGCAGAAAAAATGTTTATTCATTAAAATAATGTCATTTTCAGAATGATTATCACAATATGAATTTGGACATAAAACACACAGAGATTTTGCTAGCTTACCACACACATCACAGTAGTGCCAGGGACATTCCCATCTTCCGTACGGTCGTTTATCCAGTTTTAGACATTTAATGTGGTATGTTTTGCTGCATTTGTTACGACTACACATAATTAATTCTCCTCCATCTCCACAAACGAAGCAATCATTATCATGTACTAAATTTTAAATAAAATAATTTCAATAACCTTTTTGTTCAAATATTTACAAAAATTTTTTATTATCAAGCAACAAAAATAAATAAAACAAAAGGTTATGCAAACATATAAAAGAAATTTATTAAAAATTTTTATTCAGACCAATCTTCTGTTGCTTCTTTATTTTCTTTTTCTTTAATTTCCCTTTATCTGCTATTGCCATAGAATGCTGAGTCTTTGGTGGAACACCCAAAAATCCACTACAATTGACAGCACCGCATTTACATTGTTTTTTATCATTACCTAAATGTTTCTCAAAATTTTTTTTAAACTGATATATGACTGATGAAAAGACTATAAAAATAAAAATATACCGAGAGAGTCGAGATTGTAATTGAAACACAATTCTTCGCCCATTTTTATATCTCTTGTAGCAAATAAAGCAACACGAATCTCTCCATTAACAGTCCACTTTTGTGTTTCACAATTTGGGTTGCAACTGTGGTTCATAAAGCGAGACATATTACCTTTAGGATATGCATCAATGATATTATCCTTGTCGATGGTAAGAAAGTAATAATCAAAAATATCTTTCTCGTGATATTCACGCACACGTCTATGACATGTCTCCTCATCAATGAGCTCACCAACATACTCAATAACAAATTCTCCCTGTTTAATATCTAAACAATTAAATTATTTTATTATGTACTGTAAATTCGTAAACCTTAACATGTAAACAAATTTTTAAACATTCAATTTTCTCAACTTATATAACAGAATACAAATGTTTAAACACTCTTTTGTTCCCAATACCAGAGATGCTATGAATACTTGGAGACAATTTGGTATTTGGTCTATTGGATCTACTTTAGTTACTATTTAGTATTCAGCCAAATATTGCCAACTATTCATCTTAATACCAAATACCAGATTGTAATCAGAAAAAAAAAAATTAAGCATAAAAAAAGGATTACATAACTACACTTTTTTGCAAATAAATCAGCCAATTTTCAGTTTAATTTACCATTTTTTCATTTTAATTTGGCAAGAATATGTTTAGTGAGGTGTAAGTTTTGTGTGCCAAATTAAAATAACATTTAAAATAAATAATAAATTATTGCCAAAATAAATGCCAACTTAATTTTACAAATAACTACCATATCTGATACTTTAAATTTATAGATGGTAAGTTAAAATAAAAATCTTTCTGCCATTTCATGATACCAAATGATTGCGCTTTTTCACATTACTTATACATGTAAATCAAAAATGATCTAACCATTTATTACAGAAAATTTGCATGCATGAAAATGTGGAAAAAGAAAAATCCAAGTGCAAATGAAATTGGTTTTTAAAAAACCAATTTCATTCGCAAAGATTAACCTTTTCCTGACCTAAACTTTGACCAAGAAAGATTGTGATGTATGTCACTCATCAAAATAACAAAGTGCCACTGAATATTTCCTGCTTTGACTGAGTGCCTAGCTGAATATTCAGTTTATGACAAAATCACTATTTATCTCTACTTAATACAGCTATCTTGATAAACAGAGTTTATATATAATAATAATTTTAAAAACTTTAATAAACATTTCCAAATAATTAATGCTTAAATTTTAATTATATAGTTAAATTTAATTATATAATCATTCTTTAGCATATTAAAGCAAAAGAAGTTAGCATTTTTAATTACTTCTTATATAGGATTTCTCATTAAACTGCACCCATTATCACATTAAAAAAAAAAGTATTTAAAAAAAACCTGTATCTGCCATCAAACCCCATCCTCTGCCCTCACATTTAAAAGGGTGACACTTCTTGGATTCATTTTTTTGTATTTGCTGATTTTGGCATAAATTTCCAGCTGGACAAGTCTTTGCATTGCATTCAAACAGCAGCATTCTATTTAAACATTCAGAGTCTGAAGAACAAAATGTTTCTTTAGAGCATTCACAAACAGGCCACTCAGATTGATCAAGTATATTTCTTATGCAAGATACTGGTTTATTACTCTAAAAAAAACAACAAAAGATGCTATATAGACTATGGAAATAAGTTAAATACTTTTATAATAGAGTTAAAATGGTGTCAATATTTAAATGTGGAAGCCCATCAAAATACTGCAAAATATGCGCAAACGAAAAATTAATAAAATAATTTTTGAATGGAGAAAGCAGCGCCATGAAAACGTGTAATGGTTTAATTTTTTATCATCTATTTTTCTTTGTTATTCAAATCTGTTATCTGCTCTTTAGGAGCATTACTTTTAACTTTTAGACTATGTTTAAATAGAAAAAAATTATTCTGTTTACAAGAACACTATTTCATTTCTAACTCAAAACAAATATCAAATAAACAAAAAAAAACAAAAAAAAAAACAACAAAAATAATAATAATAATAAGACACAAATAAAATCTTATGTCACACAGGTTCTCTAGTCTGCTAAAAAATTTGAGTCAGAAATCTTAAACTTTCTTTAAACTCTAAATAAGCCAAATTGCTCACATAAACATGTTAAAAAATATATAACCATCAGGAAGAACTGCATTTTTATAAACGAAAACATATTATTCCTCCTTGCATTAACACATGTCCAATAATTAAAAAAAAAAAAATGGAAATCCAAAATTGCTTTGATTTTAGCACTAAAGTTGCCAGTTTTTTTGGCCATGACTCAATAAGCCCTATCATTAGACATTGCAAACCTTGTACAATGAAAATTGTGTAGAAAAACTAGGAATTTTAAAAATTTCTTAATTACTGCATCTAAATTATTAAAGATTGCACTGAAGATATATGGAAGTTGGTATTAATATCTGTAGCAGTATAAAAAATTATTAAATTAAATTAAGTAAAAAGTTTTAATATGTAGGAGACATTTTATTTGTTATTAAGTTGTAAGGTTGTTTAAAAATTTGATAAGAGTTGTTTTTCTTATTGCGCGGTAAACCCTAATATCGATTTTGAAAACTTTTATTTCTTAAACTTTCTAAACTTCTATATAAGTTTCTTTCTTCTTAAATTTCTTTTTAGTTCTTGAAATAAAATGGTACACTACTGTATTAGGTAAACTAAAAAAAAAAAAAAAAAACCATTAGGAAATGCACATATTAATGTATTAAATAGTCACAATTTAATTAATAACATTTTAAACAACTGTAATTGATCCTGAAAATAATCTTTATGTATCATAGATGAGTATTTGACTTTATGAAAATCCCGGAAATTTTTTTTCTATGATAATCCCAGAAAGTTATTTTATTAAAAACTGATCGCCTTTAACTGACAAACGGAATTTAGATTATTTAACTTTTCACAAAAAGGAATTTCCAATATTCGAAAAAATTTGAATGAATTAAAAAGCAAAAAAAAAAAAAAAAAAAAATTATTACAAAAATTAATCTCATGAAAATTTTAATTATAGAAAACATATTGGTTTAAATGCATAAGTTGTTGTATGTAAAATTTTATGTAAAAATATATTAATTTTTTTTCAAATTAATATCAAAAAACATCCGGAAATTACTGGAAAAATTAAAGGTGTTTTATGTGAACCTATGATTTATTACACATTTTTTTTGCACAGGTTGGCAATAATTGTCTAATTCCTTTATCATGAAACTCACTTATTTTGATAAGTGAATTCACTTAATTTAATAAGTGAATTCACTTATTTTGATAAGTGGCACATCATTTGATAAGTGAATTCACTTCTGGACAAGGCACATCATTTAATAACCAAAGGAATCTTATTTTTTGAATAAAAATTTCATTAATATGTATGTTTTTATTACAGTTAAAATTATATATACCAAATTTATACTTTTTTTATGCATTCATAAAAGAATGTTTAAATATTCTTATTATTATATTTTTATGAAAACATTAAACCCCCATTAGAAATAAGACCAAGCCATAAATTATAAATTGATCACATTTAAAAAATAACCAAGTCTATAAACAAAGCTATTAAAACCTAAACTCTGATACTTAGAAATAATGGAGCAGGCAACCTTCATAAACAACAACAACAACAAATAAACTGTTTTTCTTTGTATACATTTGTTTAGTAAGAATGACTTTCAAATCTTCAAATCTTTTGACTATTTTTTCGTTTTCTAAACTTGGACTTGGTTGTTCTTTTAAGTTAAATTTTTTTGTACAGCTTTTGACTTATAGAGTTAAAAAATTATTTAAAACAAAAGTAGAAGTTAAGTTTGTTTTACAGATAAAAAATGCATACAAAATAAAAAATAAACCAACTTTAATTAATTTAAATGGTTGCGGCTTGTTAGTGATTTTACGTCCTAATATTTCAGAGACTTCAGCACGCTGCTTTTCAAGCTCTGCAAATGCTTCTCTAGCTTCTTCAACTGCTAAAATCATAAACAAAAAAAAACTTTTTAGTTTAATAATTTTTTTTTGTGTTATTCATCTCTTTAAGGCCGAGAAGGCCACTACAGACGAGGAGACTACTTAATAGTAGTTATAACCCTCTCACAACTCTATAACTCTGAAACACGAACCTTGACGAACAAGGCCGCTGCGCGGAGAAACAAGTTGAGAGCGGTACTACCAGGGACGTGGTGGGGATCAAACTTTAAAAAATACGTGGTGGGGATCGAAATTAAAAAATATTAACAAATAATATACAATGCATTAATACACACACAATCATTACTAAATGCTCAAGTTAGGATTAGGAGTAATCCTCAAAATGTTAATTATTTATATATCAAAATGTTAATTATCACAGTTCAAGTGACACATCTATTTGTCTTCATTCAAAAAACAAAAATAAATAAAAAAAAATTATTCCAGCAACATTCGATCTGGTTTTAAGTGAACAATACAAACCTTTCTATGCATATATAATGAAACTTTTGCTATTCTTGTTGCTTATTTATGAATCATTCATTCAAAATATTCATTCATTACTTATAACTAGGTTCAGTGGTAGCTTTTGAAAAGTAAGAGCTGGAGAAAGTTTTAATCACTATATAATACAGTGTGGAAAATTAGAAATCAAAGGCAAACAGTCCAATTCAATCGGTTAACACACGGAATCGACAGCCAAAAGATTTTTTGTCTTTGTTTAAATTTTTATCTTAATGATAGTTCTTCATGATTGAACTTTAAAATACAAAAATAACTTAATGGTTGAAAATTAACAAATTTTTATTCCTTTTAAAATAATAATTTTAAATAAAAACAATGCATTTTTAAAATGGAAAATTGCAAATAACAAATGTTTCAACTATCTGCTAATGTTATTAGTTTTAAAAAATTCTTGCATGATTTTCATTCCATTTAAAAAGGAAGTTTGAAAACATCCAAACAATTTATATTTGAATTTTTCTTTTAAATATCAAAAGTTTAAAAAAAATGTAAACTAAACACTAATACTAAAAGAAATTTTTGCTTTCTGAAATGCTACTATAACAATAAATTATGTTATATAAAACAAAGCTTTTACTATTAAATGTATTTTCTACTATAAGTTTATAGAATTTCTATTGTAGAGATTTTTCTTTTTAACTTGGTGGTTTTAACTCTGATCGTGCTTGCTTTAAAAATGAAAGTGTTGTTTATCTCTTTTTAGTCGCCACCATTTTGATAGGTTGATGTTTAATGATTCTATTACAATTCAATAATAGGAAAAAAAAAAATGCTAATGCGCAAGTGATAGTTTTAAATTTATTTAAAAATAATTCATTCACTGCAATGACTTTGCAAATGGTGGAAAAGCTGCAAGAAAAATAAATAAAAATATTGAATGAAAAAACAAAATACGAGTGGAAGAGAGAAATATTCTTAGTTACATGCAACAATTTCAAATAATCATAAAATAAGAATTTAAATAGTTAAAGTTAACTATGTTATAGAAAAAAAATAATTGCATTTTAATTGTATTTTATATCTCTGCTATTTAAAATCATTTTTAAAACTGCAAATATTAATTAGTTAATATTAATGTTATTAACTCTCCTGCCCAAATACTATTTAAACTGATTACTTAATACTAAGAAGTTAATCGTTTTATGAAACACTACTATAAAAATTACTTATGTTACTTAAAACAAGATTTTTATTAAACAAATATTTGTAAGATTTCTATTATAGAAAAACGCTCAGTAATTAGTAATTATAAACTACTCTATAAATCATTTATTCGTTGCAATTTGCGGCAAAAACTTACAAAAAATTAAATAAAAAGATTTAAAAAAAAAAAGATGACAAAGAACAGTTGAAAGAAAAAATGTTCTTAATTAAAAACAGTAATTATTATATATTATTATTAAAATAATGTATTAAATATTTTTAACAAAATAATAATAAAATAAGAACTTCTATCGTTTGTGAAAAAATGATTTTTAGCACCAGTAAAATGAAATTAATCTAAATAAGTAAAGCAAAAAAATTACCAGACAGTTTATGTTACATATAATATTCTTTAACAAAGCATATCACAATAAAACTATTTTAAACGCTTTTTCAAAATTTAAATGATTTTATGAAATTTTGGTATATGGTTTTCCAAACCACAACCTAATTATTTGTCAACTATTTAAACTCTTTTTTTCCAAACGGTCAACCATTTTAGTCATTTCAGGCAGGCATTGACAGCTGATTGACTTTTATCTTCTGCGCTAACTTTATAACACTTTATTTATTAAAACTTAATTATAATACATACTAATATATTTGATTATTGATGTTTTTAAATATATGCTTAGATTTAAGTATCTTTTAATGTGAAAATAAATAACCAAGTTATCTTATAAGCAATGAAACAGAAAAAAAAAGCTTAAAAACGCTGCAAAAAATTTAAATTTCAACCTTAAGAATAATGTTTGATCAGCATGGTGTAACCTTTCATAAAGCAGCAAGCAAACTCAAAATTTCTGTTTCATAAGCTCATAAAATCATAAAAGGAAAGTATATTAAATATTAAAAAAAGAAAACGAAGATTCCAGTTTAAACTGATAACCAAAAACAATGACCAAAACTAAATTTGGAAGACTTTATTAAAGTTTCAGATAATATGATTGGATTATTGATAAAAGATTTTTACACCATCCCATTTAACAATCAAGACAAACAATAATTTCTATACAAACATTATTAAAGAGTGTCCCTCTTATGTTAAATATAAAAAATCTAAGTACTAACTAAAGCTGTTGTCAGGGTAGCTTTTTCTTGTAAAGGTATATGGAAAATTTTGATCTAAAAAATTGGTCTAGCAATTAATCAAAAAATTTACTTGGAAGATTAAAAAATTTCATTATGCTAAACCTGTTCAATATTAAAAGGTCAATTAAGAAAAGGATTAACTTATAAAGATAGATGGCAAGTAAAAAATTTTGAACAGCTTAAGAACAAAATAGAGTATTGCTTTAAGAAAATTGACCGAAGCCTTGTGCAGCAATTTCTTCAGCATCAATAAAATATAGACTAGATTTTTTAAAAGGAAATATTATAATTGAAAATCAAGAAACATTTTTCATAAATGATTTATCTTATTAAATCTTTTTTAAATGGTCAATTTTAAGAGAACACTTGTCATTTCCAATTATTACAAGTTGCAGGTGATTTTTGCAACAGTAAGAGCACTGTAATTTTGCAAGACTTTTTTTGCTGATAATATTAGGGACTCATGGGTCTTGGGGCACATCTTAAAATCTTTTTATTCAAAAAACTTTTGAATCTAGTTTTTTTTTTTTTTTTTTGTATAGAACACTTTTAGTGGGTAAGAGCAAACCTATTTAAAAAAAACTATTTTTAAGGTCCACCCTATTATAAATCAGGATTCTGGGCTTAAAAATGATAGTTCTTTAACCATAAAAATTAGCTCATAAGTTTCTTTACATTTTTGGAGCTCCTTGATACCAAAAACCAGGAGGAATCACTTTACAACTTTTAAAACTGAAGTGCTTTTTAGGGCATCAGGATTTGCTTTTGGGGCATCAGGATTTGCAGAAGTTGCATCAGATATGCAAACAACCCTTATTTATTATTTGTAGTATTTTATAAATTAAAAAAATATTTAAAAAACTTTTAAATAGTAATTAAATATTTTAAAATTTAAATACCTTTTTTAAAATAATTTGCAAGAGATACACTTAACTTTCCAGCACTATTTCCGCCTTTATCACCATCCTGATATTTGAACACTCTTCCAGAATGAACCCAAGAATAATCTTTGGAACCAAAAAACATTACTGGAAATTGACCAATGATGTGAGGTATTTTTAAAATTCTTTCAGGTATTTCACTGGGAATACATATTTTGGCAGGCCACCAC